AATAGGTCCATAACAGTACTGTACTCCTTTAACCTCTTAACCTCTCACAATGAAAAAGAAAACAGCAGTTGGAAAGCCCTTGGTTTTGTGGTTATTTGTCTTTGGCTTCTTATCTCTGGAAAGATTCAGCAGATGTCTTTCTAGGCCCGACTATATCTAGAACATCCAGATAGGCAAGTGTGTAGTTAAAACTCTGCAGATTGCCACTATAGGATATAATGATAGTCAGCGACTTGGCCATTTTTAGAGACAGGGTGAGGTACATTCATGTAGAACAAAGCTACCAGTCATTTTAAAAAATCTTTTAAAAATAAAACAATGTGTTGAGAAAGTACAATATAACTATTTATCTTGTGTTGAATTCTAAAATATACAAACAAAACAATAATACAGTTGTCATAATAATTCATTATCTTTCCAAAATGATGCTTTATTTATTTGTTTGTTTGTTTACTACTTGATAAGCTCTACCCTCAGTGGTTAACAATAACACTACAGAATCAGCATCCATTAACAATGTAAATAAAATTGAACCAGAAACCAAAATTTAACTGAAACCTAAATGTGAGCAGGGCCAGGCAACTCATATACATAATTAACCTGGGTTGGGGGAGAGTTGTCTTTAAAGGCTTCTTTCAGTAGTGCTGCCCATTATATTTGTATATTACAATGTTTTACCTTTTAAGACACATGCACAGGAGGGGGTGTTGCACTAGCAAGCAGGAGTGTTGCGCTTGTGGGAGGTGTTGTGCTCGTGGGGGGCATGCACACAAGAGCAGCACACCCACCCACAAGCACAACACGCCCACCCCGTGAGCACAAAACATCCTCCTACGATCGCGGGGGTGCCCCTCCCCTCCCACACACTGAGCCCGCCCCCCCCAACTGGTCTGCAATTCCAAAAGGTTGGGGACCACTGCTTTATGGGAAATACAAGTGGTAGGGTTTTGTTATATCAGTTTCCTGCTCACGAGTTCTCCACAGTCATCTGGTTAGCCACTGAGTGAAGAGAATGATGGACTATGTAGGCCTTTGCTGTCCCCCAGCATGGATCTTTTTATGTTCTGATGGTCTTCTACTTCCCAGTAGGTAGTTTTGGCTAGTGGGCAGAGAAATAACGGACTGGAGTACTAAAGAGCAGAAGGGGGAAGTAAGTGACTAAAAGGGCCTTGGATTGTATGAGAGAAAAACATACTGAAGAAGTGAACAAGGACTTTTACAGGATTTTACATTTTATTCCTGAAAGCTAGAATGAAAAATTTCTGAAGTTTTTTCTCTCCTTGGTGAAATTATGGAGAGTTTGTTGGTTTTGTATTTTGTCACTTCTTTTCAAAATAAATAAACAAACAAACACATAAATTGGAGAGTGCTTCTCCTGTAATCCCCCCCATTTATTTTTTTCTGCAAAAAATACAATATTTTAAATAAAAAAAATAGTTTTAAGGTTGAAACATTGGCTTTTGCTAATGTTACTGCTAACAAAAATGTGCCAGTTTTTTTCCTTTTCTGTAGAAGAAAATCTTGCAGCAGCTGTCCATTTTTTTGTCTCAAAATGTGGAGAAACTCTTTTTTATTTTGAGAAAAGCTCTGAAGACTTGTGCTGCTCTTTGATTGATAGGCATATATTTACTTATATTATGAGTTTCAGTCTGGTCTGTTTGTTTTGATTTAGGGGGTCAATGTATTTGTCCCACAATATGCCCTCAACTGCATCATTTCAGAATGTGTCATTTTAGCTATCTTTCTTTCTCCTTTGGAAGTTATGTTGGTGACTTTTATAGATGCCAAATTGCATTGCTCTCTGCTTCTCGGTGACTTCATGTCTGACAAATGACTCAGCAAAAGAAAACTTTGTGTTACAGAATGATTCAGAGTCTTGAAGGTCTTTGGAAAATCTGCAGGACTGGCATCTCAGTTCAAGCAGTCTTTCTCGTAGGATAGGTATCATTGAAAATCTGGGTCTGCCACCTTGAGTTCCATGATAGGAGAACACTCTTTTTATAAATGTAGAAATCAAAAGAATTTCTTTGGAGACTACAGCACCCATAATCCCTGACCATAGGTGCTGGGGATTCTGGATATTATGGTACAAAAAACAGATATCCCTTTCTAAGTGAAATAAGTACAGTATATGAAATAATCTTCAAGCAAAGTTGAAAGTATCTATCCTGAGCAATCTTGGCTGCTTAGTATGTATTGCTCTGCAATATGGACTTGTGAGCAGTTTTTCCTAAACTGGTTCACTTCCAGCTGCCTTAGAACATGGCTATAGATTGCAGCTGTACCAGCTGTTCAAACCCATTTTTACATTTGTGAGTAAGGAAACAAAGGCAGCTATCTTGTGTTAAACCGTTAGTTCTGCAATATTTTAGGCAGGTTTTTCCCCCCTTAGCCCTGTCTGATAAGTGAATCTGGAACTTTCTGTATGCAAAACATATATGCTCTGCCAGTGGTCTGGAGCCTCTCCCAATTTAAAAGACTATTGAATTTATCAGATTATTTATTGAGTTACATTATGCGATAGTATGTACAAAACTTGCAGTCTGAACAAATTTAATGGCAGCATAAACAAAAAATTAAATCTATATGTTTCAAAAGGGCAAAGGAAGAAACTGGAACCATTTCTTTTGGATAATCAGGGAACAACAGAAATATTTTGAGGCAGACTCTGACTCAAAAAGTAATAGCTGTGACCATACATAGCATTTGGGCATAGTGTTAATTTATGCAGTTAAGAAAGGAACAAAACATCTGGGTATGCATTCTGTGCCAAGGAAAGAAGCTCTTAGTATGCCAGGGATCTTTTTATTTGTGTTGCATTGTAAGCATATCACAGGGCTGCTGACATATGTATTGTAAAAGTAATTCTCTAATTGTAAAGGCAATGGGTGGAATGGAGACAGCATAGTTTCAAAAGAAGGGTGGGGATCCTCCGCCCCATTTCTGCGTATGTAGTTGCTTCCAGGCATGTCCCCTACGTTACTCTAGAAAAATCATGTGTGCCACCTTGAGCCCATTGGAAGAATGATAGGATATGAATGTAACAAATACTGTATATGTTAGGTTTCAGGAACAATATATTATACAGCGCAAGAGATTTTGTTCATGAGGACAATATCTGGCTTGTGTAAAGGCCAGCTGTATATCACACGCTCATGTGTGTCTGTGTAAAGGCCAGCTGTATATCGCATGGGGTGTGTGTGTGTGTGTGTGTGTGTGTGTGTGTGTGTGTGTGTGTGGGTGTGTGTGTGTGTGTGTGTGTGTGTGTGTGTGTGTGCATGGTCCAAGCCATGAAGTATCCTATATCAATACTGTATTTAGGGACTAGATGTGGTACACTCTGGCTTTTTCCAGCTTTGGTGGATCACTGAGCTGTGCCTCTAACTAGAGCAGTGGTCCCCAACCCTGGGCTTCCAGATGTTCTTTGACTACAACTCCTGGAAGCCTTCACCACCACCTCTGCTGGCCAGGATTTCTGGGAGTTGAAGTCCAAGAACATCTGGAGGCCCAAGGTTGGGGACCACTGAACTAGAGGACAGATCCCTAACAACATTGGTTTGCTTCTTCAAATTGCTTTATTGATTTATTCCATCCAGGTGCTCCTATCTGAGATCAAGGGGCTAAGTCCAATTTTAAGTTCCAGTTAGAGTCATTGAATCAATAAGACTTACAAGTACTGTTCATTCCATAGATCTACTGTACTGTACTCTGATTTGTATTAGGAGTTTGATTTAGCCCAAAGTCTGTGGAGACGTTGCTTCAGTACTTACTTGTCTGTGGCTGAAATTACTTATAAATGAAGCTTACATTAATATTGTAACCTAGGAGTCAAAAATCCAGATGCTTATTAGACGGAGGGACCTTGAAATAGAGACTGGCAATTGAAACTTGAGCCATTGCATTGATTGCTTCTAATTTATTGTATATTATGCAGGGATTTAAATCTTCACTTATTTCATTCTCACAGGTGAGAACAAAAAGATTTAAGTTTCCTCATTGCTGGACAAGATCACAAGGATTTTTGTGCATTTTAAAAATATTTTTGCGCAAAAACATACTTGGCACAATATGTATTTTGTACAAAAGCATTCTATTTTGTATTTTGCATTAAATATAAGGGTTTTTTAAACAGAATTTCATTTTTAGTACTGAATGCAGAGGATTTTTGTACAAAATAAAAAACGTGGGCAAAACAAAAGGTGGCAGTGTGTTGTTTTTTAGCTAATGCTAAAATGATGATGATGAAAAAGGCAAGGTCATCTTGTTCTCATGCAGAAGCAAAAAAAAACTTTCAGGAGCTGACAGTTTTTAACAGGATGTTTTGAAGTGTTGGGACAGCTTTTTTCAAAGAGGACAAGCAAAATAGCAAATAGTCATCACCTAATCCAAATCACAGTAGATCCATGGAATAGTCATCATTCACACACACATTGTTCTAAAACAATAATGTGCCTATTGTAGGTGTCAGTTTACATATTTATTTTTAGAATAAAAGCTTTGGCATTTGTTATGCTGCCTTCATGCATCTTCTTGCAGCAGTACATTCTGCAAAAGCTTGTACATACTATGGCTGGTGTTTGCTATTAATTACATTATATGCAATATGCTACTGGTTTTCTCTTTGAGAGGCCACTCTTTTGTGCTGATTGCATTGGAGATTCTCTTTTTTTGAAGTACTATCCTCTGATTTCCAGTTGGATTTGTGTATAGTCCAAATTAAAGCATTTCAGAGTGCCTGCAGGATTCCAGTTGCAGCTACATTTATATGGGGGGAAAATCATTCAGCTAATGAAACCCCAAAGCCAGGGCAACTAGTGTGTGCGTGTTCGCGCACGCACACATGTGTGTGTGTGCATGTGTGTGCATGCGCGTGTGCACACACACACACACACACACACTCATTTCTAAGGTGACCTCAGACTTTTTGCTGTTTGGCAACATTTAGTGCTTGATAAGGAGAAGATGTGAAATGAGTTACATTTCATTGATGTTCTCTTCAGGTTTATAATTGGCAGAGAAAAGCCAGGACAAGTAAGCGAAGTGGCTCAGTTGATTAGCCAAACCCTTGAGCAGGAGCGTCGCCAGAGAGAGCTTTTGGAACAACATTATGCACAATATGACGCAGATGATGACGAGGTAACCTGCTTGTTCCTTCTCTTCTAACTTTGTGAAGTAGCCTTTCCTTGTCTACTTGCGTTTCACTCTCTGTCTAATGTTTTGTCAAATCACAGTTGGAAACAGTTCCTTTTGCAAATGAAAAAGCCCTGCATGACTGTTCTACCCTGCATGATGGTAATCATAGTCATGCTGTGCCTGAAAAATCTGTCTTTAAATATGTAAGATTGTTATTGCTGAACAGAAGATGAATATTAAATTCATTTTCAAACAGAGCCCCAGAATTGCAATTTTGGACAGCAGCTAGGACTCCACATAGTCCCTGATGTTTATGATTTCCAGTACACTAGTGCACTGATGTCAGATTCTCATACTGATGTCATGTTCTTGCGAAGTTTGCTTTGATTTTAAGGAGGGGAGGATTGCACTCTTTGTCATTGCAAATTCACGGCCAAAACTACAGAAGAAAGATGAATGAAAAAAGGAAGAGACTTGTCATTTTCATGCATTCTTGACATCCAATTCATATTATCGTATGTGGCAAACAATCATTAGATCAGGATCTGGCAACCATCTAGCTATTATTGGACTGCAACTCCTATATTCCCTCTGCTGGCTAGGGGTGAATTGCACTTCAATAATATCTGGATAGCCATACATAGCCTTCTCTTGCTCTAGGTCAGCACTGTATGGTAGCAGCTCTTCAGTGTTTCAGACTGGAGTATTTCCCAATCATACTGGGATATCTGAGCAACTAAATCTGGAAATGTCTACATGCCAAGCACTCTAGAAGCGTGGCAAGTGTCTGGATGCTTGTTGTGTAACATTATGGCAATATTTACTGTTATCAAGTAATCAACTTCTTTCTCAAACTTTGGTAAATATGAGATCTTAACAAATGTGCCTTATTTACATGTAAAACTGAAAATAAAAACCTTTAGTGGTGGTTTTCGTATGTATATATGTAACTAGAAACTTCTACATACAAAGCACTCCAGAACTGTGGCACAATTAAGCCCAATTTTAAAAACAGACATGTATATATATGAACCTCTCTGTCTCTCTCTGTCTCTCTCTGTCGACAGACAGACATATATATATATGAACCTCTCTCTCTCTCTCTCTCTCTCTCTCTCTCTCTCTGTGTGTGTGTGTGTGTGTGTGTGTGTGTGTGTGTTTCTTTAAAATTGGGCTTAATAGTGGTTTACTGTTGACACAAAATAAAAAACCAGTTTGAAACTAATGAACCTAATGTCCAAAATAAACTGCATAATAGTATCTACAGCAGTTAATAAGTAGTTCCATATTATGTACTAGATGCCCAGGTATCAGAAGAATAGGATTGTTGAAGTATGGCCCCAGGAAGCCACTTCCTGTTCTGTTCTGGGATGGGAGGCAGTGTCACCCAGAGGATAGGTCCTGTCTCTGCAAGCCATGAGTCTAATTTCAGAAGTGGGAAATTTGGAGCTAGTCCTGCAGCTGCTGGTGAGCAGATTCATAGAAGGAAGGAGTCAGTTTCCAGAGCTTAGGGGAAAATGGACTGCAAGTCCCACAATCCCCTAGCCAGCATAGTGACACAAAAAAGTAACTCCCATGCTTTGCTGGCCCCAAACTGTTAATAGTTTGAGAAAGGGGCTTTTAATTGTACCTGGAAATAAAGTACTGTGCTGATTAAATTTTTCACTATAGCAATCGCAGTTAATAATCTCCAGTAGATTCTGTAACAGCTGACATTTTGAAATAGGGATTTTTTTAAAAAATTTATTCTAGTTCCGCATCACCCTACAATAATAGTTGTGTGCTGTCACACAACTATTCTGACTTAAGATGACCCTTTTCAGGGTTTACTGGGTAGAGAATACTCAGAAGGAGTTTACCATTCCCTTCTTCTTGGGGAAATGCTGGGACTGTGCAGCTTGCCCAAGGCCACATAGGCTCACTCTTCTGGGATGGACAGTGGGGAATTGAACTCCCAGCCTCTGGCTCCGCAGCCAGATACCTAACTCACTGAGCTATCGAGCCAGCTATTGAGGTTGAAATATCAATATCAGAAAAACAAACAAACGCAAACATATGTGCACGTTAAAACAGCGAAAATATGTGTTACACCAAGAAAATGAAGATTATAAGAAACTGCTTTTACAGAGTCAGATTATTGTCCATTAGCCCAGTAATATCAACATGGATCAGCAGCAGCTCTCCAGGGTTGAAGACAGGAGATTTCCTAGCTCTACCTGGACATTGGATCGGTTACTTATCATTTTACAAAACATATACTGTACTCTGCAACTAAGCTGTGGCCGTTTCACCGGTTTTGACAGTTTCTTGCCAGAAGGGGATACAGTTGGTACCCTAATGGAGATTGGTGTAAAAAGTGATCTGCACCATATCGAGGGTGCATAATGAATGTTGAGTTTCTCTCAAAGCATTCTCAAGTTAGCTAGTAATAGCAGCTTGGTTTCAGATTTGTCTGTCAAGGACTAGTCAAGCCTTTTGCACTAGAGAGTAAGAAGCTGACAGTATGTTCATAAAATATTTTGCCCCTCAAGTTTTGTTCAAGGGCAAGGTTCTTGGGCTTTGTCTTCCCTCCCACACATCCCCTTCACCATACTTACAGGAAGTATATAGAGATGTGGAAGGAATTCTGATTTGCTTAGTATCTCTTTTGTCCTACTGAAAAAAAGCAGAAGCACAATAGGACTGGGAGCATAAAAGGCTGAAGTACACACCAAACTTCATCCAGGGTATTTATTTTTGTGCAGAAATTTGTGTTTTATGCTTTCACTGTAGTTAGTGTGTTCTACGTGGTTAGCAACAATGCAGGATTATTTTATGATTAGTAAATCATAAAAATTAGGAGTACAATAAAATAAACAAAAAAGTCAGAACAGTACAATAGAGTAGGGGTCCCTGGGCCGCAGACCGGTACCAGTTTGTGGCGTTGGCAGGACCAGGCTGCAGAGACAGATCTCCCACCCACCCCCACTCTCTCTCACACACACACATGAATGCCCCCCATGCACACAGATGCTCACACACCATCCACATGCACAGACATTCCCTTACGCATGCACAGGCGTACTCCCTCACACCTACACACACAGAGAGATGCACACACCCCGCACACACGCTAAACCGGTCCATGGAGTCAAAAACGTTGGGGACCACTGCAGTAGAGACAGGTATAGGAGGAAGAAGCAGCTTAAACATGAGTGATCAGCTCTAGTGATCCTCAGCCCACTAAGTCCTAGATCTGCTTGTATAATTCTAGAGATTAAAATATTTTCTAAATAACACCATAGAATAGTAAGAAATTTAGAATAAATGCTCACATGTGCCTTTATTATAGCTTGGCATTTTCTGTATTTGGGAAATTAATTGGATGAAATTAACATATCAATTTCCCAAATACAGAAAATAAAGAGGCATGCATAGGATTATGTTTCCCCCTGAGATTACATATGAACAATAGTATCTAAGAAAGTGTCTAGCTTTGATTTGGAGAAGAAAGCAACAAATGTAGTCTTTCCCAGAATAAAATGCATAGTTGATATTTTAAAAGTTTGTGGAGATGTTAGAAATTGAGTTCACTTTATTATGAAGCCCTGGTGAAGCTGATATTATAAATGATGGGTTTTTTTGCATAGGATTATGTTTCCACTATATTAAGAGTGGGGTTTGTTAATACACAGAAGCACCATTATCTATCTAGCCACAGGATCAGTATTATCTCCCTCTAATTAGTTTTGAAAGTAGTGTTGTATAAGGAAATTATACAATCATTACTCCATCTTTTTTTCCATGCCACTATGTGTGCTGAATATTGAATGTTATTTCACAAGGTCTTCCCAATTGTCCCCTCACTTTCTCATCAGATATGGAGAAATATGGAGAATGTTTTCCAGGTATGTAAGTGTGAATTAACATAGGACCATACAGTCCTTACTAAATGAGTAAAAATGTAGACAGATAGCATATGCTCATTTTTTACTTCATTCGTAAATATATACCCCATTCATTTCCATGCATGTCAGCTTCTTATTTCCTTAAAATGTATGATGTTTTGATTAATTTATTTATTAAATATGTTCATTTATTAAATGAATCTGTTAATAGATTTTCTCCTCTCCAAGGCTCCCAAAGCAAAGCACAATTAAACAGATTAAAACATTATTTAAAATCAGTTTTTAAATTATTTTAAAAGCCAATTGTAATAATTAGTTTTAAAAACCAAAGGCCATAATAGTATAGTTTTGGCTTCACACCAAAAACTCACCAAATATGGAGCTACCCGGAATGCCCTTTGACAAGAGTGCCATCTTTTAGGTGCCACTGTAGAGAAAGTCCTGTCACATACATCCATCAATCTTGTCTCTTGAGATGCAGTGACACCTCCCCATAGTAGGAAGCAGGAATTAATGCCAAGAAGCACTTCTGGGAGTATATTGCAAAAGAAAGGAAAGTGGTTGGAGATGTTCTACAACAGTGGTTCTCAACCTCAAGTAACCCAGATGTTCTTGGACTGTAACTACAGAAGTCTTCACTCTAGCTGTGCTGGCCGGGGTCTCTGGAATTTGTCATTCAAGAATACCTGTGTTGCCCAAGGGTGGGAACCACTGAACAAGGGTGGGCAGCTGTGGCCTCTAGATGTTGATGGACTGCAGCTTCCATGATTTTTCACTATTGATTGTGCTGAATAGAACAGGTGGCAACTGTAGTACATTATTCGCTTAGAGGGTCACAGTTCCCTCACCTCCCTTGTTCTGTAAGTTCCTTGTTTTTGTGGTGAATTTTTGTAGAGTAGGTGTAGGTAACAGTTGGTCCTCAAATATTGTGTGTCTTCATCTCCCATCAGTCCTATCCAGCATGACTGGGGTGATAAGTGAGCCACAATTTCTTCACCACTGTAACAGAGGTTAAATAACCCTGCTGTAATTATTGACCAGAATGTTAATGAATAGAAGAGGTCTTATTTAATGTTTGTTATCAACTGTTTTAGAGAACTGAAAGAAAATTGCATGGAGCCTCAGGCAACTACAATAAAAATAACAACTGTTACCCTAAAAAGGTTTGTGAAGAAAGTAACTTGTCTCTGATACATTGCTTTCTATGCTCTACTAATAATATTCTAATATATACCTTATTAATTCAGCATAGCTTCTAAACAACTAATATTGCTACTGTCCCTCCTTCATTTATTCGGTTACAGGCCAAAATTTGGTTCCTTTTTGAGATCTGTCCTTTTGAATTTCTGAAAGGTTAATTGGTGTCTGTCTGGAGTTATTGTTTAATTTCTGTCATAATATATCTGGAGTTGAGAAACTTGGAAGATGGGAGATTATTCAGCAAAATGCTTAAAGGTCACTGAAAATAATGGGAAGCTCCTGGAGATTTTTGGGAAATGTGTCATTTGGTACATTCACTTGAACCAATTATGTGCTGAACAAAGTAATTATGTGGGAGATATGGCTGTTGTAGCTGCACTTGTGTGTCTTTTTCATAAGTTCCATTGTAAGAAATGTATGAAATGATATAATTATATTTATCTTTAGCAAGTACAGCGGTGCCTTGCTTAATGGGTACCCCATATAGCGATGCAAAAGCGATCGCATTGCGATGTTCCCTATGGGAAAAACTCGCAAAGCGATTTTTCCCCATAGACCCCATGAGGGCTCCCCCGCACTCCTTCCGAAGCGACCGCCAGTCAGCTGGCCGAAAAAGCCAGCTTGAGCGCTTGGGAAGGAGCGCGGGGGAGCCCTCTCCCGCAATCATTCCAAAGCGACCGCCAGTCAGCTGGCCGAAAAAGCCAGCTTGAGCGCTTGGGAAGGAGCGCGGGGGAGCCCTCTCCCGCAATCATTCCAAAGCGACCGCCGGTCAGCTGGGCGAAAATGCTGGCGTGGGGTTTTGGGAGGACCGTGGGGGAGCCCCCCCCCGTGGTCCTCCCAAAGGCCCCATTTTCGCACAGCTGATCGGCGGTTCCAAAATGGCCGCTGGTGCCGTTTCCTCGCTTACCGAGGCAGCGAAAATGGTGGCCCTATAGAGGATTCCCGCTTAGCGGTGAGTTTACCCCCCATAGGAACGCATTAAATGTGTTTTAATGCGTTCCTATGGGGTTTTTTGCCCCGCATAGTGAGGAATCCGGATAGCGATGTTTTTTCTGGAACGGATTAACGTCGCTATGCGGGGCACCACTGTAGTACCTATTAGTAGCAGTGGGGAAAAGGTATCATAATGTTACACCATACATTTTTTTGTACCTTTTTTTATGAGCAAGAAAGGTCAGTGATATCCTTGCCTCTCCCTAAAGCCTTTTTAGTGGAAACAGCAAAATGGAAGAGAGTCCTTCAGCAGAACTTTGTAGTTCTCTCCTTTACTTTACTGAATTCAGCAACACTTGTTCATGGTGAGCTGAAAATATTAGGTCTTAATGCTTTTAACACATTGAGCTACAGAATGAGTTTTTATAATATCTCCTGTTGAGATTTAAGAGAGATAAGATCTAAAAGGTCTGATGGAACCTGGGCACAATCATATAGTCATTATGTGACAGTGAATTCCATTGAATTCAGTGGGCCTTTGAGGTAGACATGTATAAATATTGCACCTTGGTCCAAAAAGAACTGAAAATAACTGTGATTGGGGGAGGGGGAGAAAGAGAAATGAGAGAGACAGGAGGATGAGAGAGAGGTGGGGGGCTGTACTTTAGAATATATGCTTTTATATTATCAAAGAAGTAGTCAATTGCAGCACAAGCAGTAGCTTGAAAATAAACACTTTTTTTCCACATAAGCTTTCATGACCTGTATGCATCTGAAGAAGCAGAACAATCCATGAAAGCTTAGTGCCAGATAAAACTTGTCAGTCATTAGGTTTTTTACAAGACAATGTTGTTTTTATTTTATATTTCTGTGAACTGAAGTGTCATCGACATGTTAAGGCAAATGCAAGCCGCTACCAGTTTGACTAGGGAAGTTGCAGCTCAGTTATAGCTGCTTAGCAGCCATCAGTTTGTGGTGCTGGATGGTGCCATCAACTCACATCTGTACAGGATACCATCTATCTCTGTGTGATTGCAGAACTGTAATTCAGATCTAGAAAGTGGCAAGGCAACATTGCTGTCTTACTGGCTTTGTTCCAAAATAGCATAGACTATGAGAGGCCACATTTTAGTCAAGTAGCCACAGGTTCCAAGAGGCAGCTGTGCCTGAAGAGCTTCTGTCCGACCAGTATCTTACTATACTCTCACCAAGATTACTTCCTTTATCATGTTGCCAAGCTGGAACAGATAATACAGTGCTTATTATTATCCATGTTTTCTCTCCCTTTTGCGAGTGGTATTCCCTTATTCTCTTTTCAAGCAACTACTTTCCTTGTTATTTCCCCTTCTAATGTCAGGTTAGAGCAGTCAGCGTCAGAGATAATAACTATGTGCCAGCAAGTCAGTTCTGATGTACGCCAACCTTTTTCAGGGCTTTTGAGGTAGAGAGTACTTAGAAATGGTTTATCATTCCTTCCTTTTGGGAGGATCCTGGCATTGTGCAGCCTGCCCAAGGACACACAGGCTGGCTATTCCGGGTTCAAAGCTGCAGTGTCCTTCTTCCTATGGCAAGTAAAAGGCAAGGCTGCTCTTTGGCAGGAAAATGCAGGTTCTTCTTAGCAGAAACCCAAGGTAAAGAAAAGGTGAAAAGAATGCTCTTCATTTGTAGCCACCTTCAGTACTTGCTCAAATTGGCTGCCAAAGGTAGAGGGAAGTGGATGTGCTGTCATTAGATATCTTTGCAAATAATTGTACATAGCCTGTTCCTCTGCTTAGCAAGATTGTTGTGAGGTTGAAATTATATAATCTTATGAACATCAATATATCTGCTAAAGGAAGGATGGGACCTGTGCAAAGATAGAAACTGCATAATATAGCACATGGTTATTGTAGTCCCAGCCCTTAGAATTCTGTTACTGCTTTAGGATTTAGAACATCCATTTACATGGTATAGTTCCCATAAAATTCTACCTTGTGTTTCCTGCTACTGTTGTCTTTTCCACGCTTGTTTCCCTTAGCTGCTGTTAAAATTGTGTGCTTTTAAAAATGCCTTTGTGCAGTAAAGACATACCTTTCATTATTGATAAAAGAATGACAGAAATTCTCTACTTCTGTATTTCTAAGACAGGGGAATATGCCACTGATGAAGATGAGGATGATATGGGGCCTATCCTTCCAGGAGGAGATATGGCCATTGAAGTGTTTGAGCTTCCTGAAAATGATGACATGTTTTCTCCAGCAGAATTGGACACTAGCAAACTGGCTCACAAATTCAAAGAGGTAAGCTGGAAAGCAGAGAGTGGATAACTCAACAGTATAGATTTTTCACAGATGTAGAGTCCTCTTCCTGACTGATTTGGGTGATTTCCCAGTGACTTTCATAATAAAGATATATAAATGGCTTCAGCAGAACTTCTCACCTTAATGGAGACATACTTTGCCACTTCTTTTTACTATCTGTTGCTATGGCTAACACTGTAAGATAATGCTTGTCATTTTGACAAAGGTCCACAAAAAAACTATTACTAACATTTACAGCAGGATCTATATTCCTAAAAGCACTTATTGAATTGGCCTGCTAATTTCAGTGGAACTCCTTGAGAGTAAATTGTCCAGTTCTTACCACCATTGCTGCAGCAGTAGATCTGATGCCTTTGCAGGTGTTAATTTAATCCTGCCTCCTCTTTTTCCAGGAAACAAATTTATTTGCTTGTCTTATTTCTGACGATTGGTTATATTAATCTGTTGACTTCACCACGCATGATAAAGAAGATATCTGTATGTGTAATCTCCAATTCTTAATTCAGATCAAAGCTTCAGTTATATGTGCCTGGGAAACAAGCCTAATTTAATGTAATCAGACTTTTCCAAATAAAGTTGTGTAGGATTGTTTTGAGCTATTTCATGCTCCCTAAATCTTATTTGTCACTCCAGATAACATGGAAGTATAATGTTATCTGATAGTACATGTTTAAGTATTTCACAAGTTAAAGCAGATGGCTTCAGATTCTGAAGTAATCTAGGGTTGTAGAACACTATAAATTGCTCAGTGAAGGCATACAAATATCAGCATACAGACATCAGGTGCCATGCCAGTTTTTATGCTGTAACTCCCCTTTGCAGAAGACACATTTCCAGCAGGATATCACATGTTCTTATACTCAACATATTTACTGTCAAGTGTGAGAGGCATACACATGTGTATTTTCCCTGTGTAGATAAAGAGAGATGCTTGTAAATTTCATGTAAAAATGTGTGACACAATAGTTTTCAGTTTAGGAATAAATGACTTGATTTCCTCTTTGCCCAGTAACAAAGCTTCTGGTGAAGATATGCTCCCAGGAGAGTTGTTTAAGTCAAATACCACTTGGTAGTGTGCAGAGCTTGCTAGAATCTTCACATATACCCTGTTTCTCCGAAAATAAGACCTAACCTGAAAATAAGCCCTAGTATGATTTTTCAGGACGCTCGTAATATAAGCCCTACCCCTAAAATAAGCCCCAGTTAAGTGAAACCCTGTCCCCCACCATTGTGCAGCAACCAGAAGATGACATGAATGTATTTTAATACATGTAGATTGTTGTATATTAAACATCCCTGAAAATAAGCCCTAATGTGTTTTTGGAGCAAAAATTAATATATTAATTTGTTTTATTTTTGGGGAAACACGGTATAAACCAGCATGGGAAAACACTTCAGGGGTGGGGTGTAAGTATAATCATCCCTATTCACAAAAGAGATTGTAAAGCTAACCCAAACAATTTTAGACCAATCAGTCTTCAAACTGTACTCCAAATAGTTACTGGACAAATTAGAGCGCTGGGCTGTTGAAAAGTCAGTAATATCAGAAGAACAGGCAGGGTTCCAAAAGGGAAAATCTACTTTAGACCAATGTTTTGTACTCCACCTTTTAATACAAAAATATTCTCAATTAGGTAAGAAGGAGCTATATGTTTGTTTGTTTGTTTGTTTGTTTATTTATTTATTTATTTATTTATTTATTTATTTATTTATTTTATTTAACTTATATGCCACCCACACTACCCGAAGGTCTCTGGGCGGCTTACAGCATTTAAAATACAATAAAACAGAGCTTGCTAGAATCTTCACATATACCCTGTTTCTCCGAAAATAAGACCTAACCTGAAAATAAGCCCTAGTATGATTTTTCAGGACGCTCGTAATATAAGCCCTACCCCTAAAATAAGCCCCAGTTAAGTGAAACCCTGTCCCCCACGATTGTGCAGCAACCAGAAGATGACATGACTGTATTTGAATAAATGTAGATTGTTGTATATTAAAACATCACTGAAAATAAGCCCTAGTGTGTTTTTGGAGCAAAAATTAATATATTAATATGTTTTATTTTTTGGGAAACACAGTATAAACCAGCATGGGAAAACACCTCAGGGTGGGGTGTAAGTATAATAATCCCTATTCACAAAAGAGGTTGTAAAGCTAACCCAAACAATTTTAGACCGTATGAAAATGTTCCTTTTGATCAAAGTCTTTGTATATGTGGAACAGGAGAAGTTGAAGATGTTTCTCATTAGTTACTGGACTCCTTTATATGATCACCCAAGGAGCAAATTCTGCAGGCATACTTAGAACTTTCTGTGACAGCCCTCCTCTGGCTCAACTTTGTCTGCTGCTTGTGGGCAGGGATGTAATTACTACCCATCAAGTAGCAAAATTTGCCCTGGCAGCAAAGAAGATTCATGCCAAGCATCAAAAATCCTAAATCTTTCTTTTTAAGTGTAATTGTGATATGACAGTGCCACATATATTTGATGCTGTCACTGATATATTGCAATGACCTATGGTTTTAAGCAATCAACCAATAAAGTAAAGTAAAGTTGAGGAATGGGGAATGGAATCCTTTCCCTCCCAGTTTCTAAATTGAAAATTTAATCAGATGTCAGATTAGAAATTTATCTGAGGATGAATGCCATTTTTATGTGAAATCATCTTTTGCAAAGAGGATCTTAAGTGTCTGAATTTTGTGTGTCATAAATGCAAAATTGGAGGAGGCAAATGGGATGCTGACCTTGGCCGTTGTACAATATTACGTCCTTGTCTTCTGATTATGGAGGGCTGAAAGCTACTGCTCCAAATGGGGTTCTGGAACTGTTAGCTTCTTAAGTAAGAGTATCCATTTCCCTTATCTCAAAAGAATAAGTCAAATTTGTTTTAAATCTCTTTGGCCAAGGAAAGCTAAGGATGTCACAATAATAGTGGGAACAGATGGGTAGCAGGGTCTCTTCATGGTGAGTGGCCTTCACCTTACCAGACACCCAGTGTCTGCTTATTCAGAAAACAATACCATCATGGCAGATGAGGCATAATCACTAGTAAAGGCAACAAAGATTGCCGCCTGAGACAGCTCTGTTCATTTGTTAGTTGCTATATTTTAGCTTTGCTTAGTAGCTTCTCACAGGCTTTACATGGCAAAGGAACTTTCTTATGTGCACACTGGTTCTTTCTGATTTCACAGAAAGCTCTTAGGTTTGGTACTAGGAGAATTTTCCTGTCTCGTGCTTCTTAATGAGTGATATCAATTATGGTGTGCTTTGATTCAGTTATTAGACAGAGAAATGAGTGCCACCTATTTTATGTTTATTATAGGAGAGTCTGTTTTAATATCACAGAAAACATTAATAAATGCACCTGCACCTGAGCAGTCTTTTAGTAGCAAAATTGGTTGAGGGTCTCTTTCTTTTACACCATTTATGAAAGGGGATAAAACTAGCTGACTTGCTTGTAGATTTATTATAGAAAGGCGGTTAGAAGAGGGTAAGAAGCTATGCAAAGTACTATGATTTGCAGTTTCAGAGCGAAAATGATGGCTTCTCATATCAGACACTGCATATGAATGGATCAAAGTACTGTACACAGTGGATGCAAAGAGCTGAGATGGCAGACAGCCACCACGCTGCCATTTCTGTCTATGAACTTGGGTCACAGCTTCTTATTTTCCTGTGGGAGGCTTTGCTTTAATTAAAATTGTAGTTTGAAATGTTTGACTGGCCACAAGAAGTCTTTTCAGACTTCTGACTGTTTTTTTTTTTAAATTAGATTTGGGACTTCCCTGTTTCCCAATTCATGCACATGTCCTAAGAGATTTATAGGGCCTAATTTCCTAAAAGGCTATCTTTTCTAATAGGACCATGCCTGGATTCTGTAAGAGAGTCTCTACTTCATTTCTTGCTGATACCAGAAATGTATTTGGTGGACAAAGGAGAAATGGAGGCATTTTCCCCTCCTTCTCAAGTTCCCCACCTTCTCCACTCCTGTGGTGGCCTTCTGTCAGCAGGCAAAGGCATTTTCACTCATCCTGACAAGCTGATTAGGATTTCCTGGTGTTAGCTGTTCACCTTAGTTCAGCTAGCCACTCTTTTTGATTTGTTCTTGGTTTTGTCCACTTGCTTGTATTATTTTGATAGTTGCCATTATTTAATTTCATTACCTTTGTATGTTCTGTTAGCTGTCTTGGATACATTTTTATAGAAAGGGTAGTTAATTGAAATTTATAGTTAATTGAAAAACTAGCAGACATGTGACCTTGAAAACAGAATTTTCACAGCAGGTAGACAAGATAGTATCATTAGGGGTCTCTATGATCATAGACTTGGGTCAAGAGACAGAGAGGAGGTTTAGTGGGTTCATGAAATCTTTGGAGGTTCATAACCATCTACAATAGTGAATAGAAGAAAACTTGATGATTAGTAGTGCAATGGAGATACATGTACTGGTTAGTTCCCCCATTGGCATATGTTTATGTACAGTATATGTTAACAAATCCAAATGTGCCTTTAAGCAAAAACATGTATACTGTAGGCTGTGATGTTACTCCCTTGGGACAGTGAATGAATTTATAGTGTGCCATAGTTCTAGTTAGATTCACTATCCATCTTAAACAGCAGCTTGCCCAGGACTGGAATTTCTGTCTCAAAGGTTTGGGGAGGAACTGGGTGCAAGGGAAACCTCACCAGGGATCTGTTTAAGTTCTTTTAGCTCAGGTTGAGAGTTACATAAGCTTTCTTGTTGTTATTGCTGCTGCTGCAGTAAATACATGTGATCATTGTGTCCTCTGTAGTACTGGAGCCTTTTAATAAGCTGCTTCTGTGTTAGTTGTCCTTTCTGACATGCCTGCCTAATCCATGCAGTAAAGCTTTCTAAGAATATTTCTGTGCACTGAGACATTCAATTCTGGTTTAGCTAACAAGCCGAGTATGACCATTGATATTTTTTCCTCCTTTAAAACATTTGGCCTTTCCAGGCTGATTGGGTACCCTCCTCTGATATTCTGAGAGGCTAGCCAGCAACACTTTTTCTTTAATTAACTTACATAGACTGAGTCATTTTCCAAGCTGGATATTTTAATTTACAGTCTACTGCACTGCAGCACTTTGGTGGGCCTTCTGCTGTGCGTACAACAGTATTCAGGTGGCATCGTAGAAGTATCGCTTCAACAAAAATACACTGGAACATTGGCATTTGTGGTTCACTTGTTCACTTTGTGATTTTGCTCTTCCAGCTGCAAATCAAGCATGCCGTTACAGAAGCTGAGATTCAGAAGCTGAAAACAAAGGTAAGGATGACGACTCGTGACTAAATGACAGTCTTCTTATTTTTAACTGCTGTCGGGTGAATTCAAAGGGAGGGAAAGAAAAGTAAATTCTCATCCAGAAAACACAGTGTCTCAAGAGAGCTTGTTTTGGTAGAAGTACTCTAACGAAACCTGAGAAGGAACCAAGAGGCCTATTATTAGAAAGAAAATACGTAGCTACAATTACATGTTAAATTTTTATTCCTCTCCTACATCATTAGATCACTAAAAGGCTTGAAAGAAAATATATTGCCTCAGTTTCTTTTTATATATTGCCTTCTTTATATTGCCTCAGTTTTGAGAAGCATAAAGTATTCTTTTCTGTTCTCACATAGATGAAAACATGAGACTTCAACTAGGAATTAATTTTTCAAAACGTTCCTTAGTGGAATCTTTTATATTTATTATATTAATTAGCCTTGCTTGTTTGTACTATGGTCGAGCCATTCATTTTGATGATATGAAGAATATGCAGAATGAATGCATATTGTTTGATTCGTTATGAATGTTTGTGAGACTGGGGTAAAAGGGCAGATATACGAAGACATTCTAGCATCATTCATTTTTCTTCTGCAGTTCACCCCTCTTGCATTATTTTAAAACTTCAGAAATCTTGTAGTAAGTTCTCATATAGTATTAGAAAACCATGTAAATGGAATTTGGTACCCACTGAAAAACTTATTGTCTTCAGAGTTTGTTGACTAACCACTAGATTCTTTACTGTACGTTTGGCTCATTCCGCTGCTGTAGAATTCTAAGCACACAAAGTATTGTGTGTATTTTTAAGACTTTGAAATCAGTTCAACCCATGGTTATCGGCTTAGCTGGAGGTCCCTTTGATTTTATTATGTCTAAAGTATACCTGCTTCCTTTTGGAATGCACAATAACAATTGTTAAATATATGTGCATTCCTTACAATTTTTGCCATTTATTCAGAAGCAAATTCTGAATGCACTATATAATAGCTAGTAATTTAAAACCTTTAAAGTGAATGCTTTTTCCTGAGCATGAAAATGTGTAAAATGTTTAATAAATACACTAGTTCTAAATACAAGCCATTGTTATTACAAAACACATACCTATGAAATCTTTTCATATTATATACAGAGCAAAATTCTGGTTGTTTCTATCAGATATTCAGTAGTTTGCTGAATGCCCATTTGCTCTTTCTCTGCCGTTTGCTCAAGGAAGTATTTACTATCATGTTGCTTTGAATGGGTTAATCTCTGGCTTCCACCACAATAAGCCAGAGATCACAGAGAGCGCTGTAGGTAGTGGTGCAGTGTTACACTCCAGATTTCATGAACAGAATTCTGCCCAGTAAAATTTTCTTTCATCTCTAGTGGGAATTTATTTTTAAAAAAATTAAGTCGCTTTTTTGTTTTATTTATTTAAGCATCCAGGGCAACCTAGCCCTCTCAAGGTGAGTCACACTGTTTTAAAAAGTCATCATATAAGAAGCTTTCTAGATTAAGCATCCTTCAGTCTTGAGAGACTTATGGTATCGTGCCCTGTATGGAGGACTTGGAACAGCGTCTAGTGTGGCTGAGAAGGCCAATTCAGGAGTGACCATCCCTTCCACACTGAAGACAAATACAATCTGTACTCCGTCTAGCTCCCTGATTTTGCTGCTTTTGTGACTGCCTCTTTGCCTCAGCCTGTTGGACAAGTGTCAGCAGGCTGAGGCAAATAGGGGGAGGCCGTGATGCACCAAACAAAACTCAACTTCACAATCAGAACCAATATTAAAATATCTACAGAAGTTTAAATGTAAACAGTAAATCAGTAGTTCACAACCTTGGGTAACCAGATGTTCTTAGACTAAAACCCCCAGAAGACTTTGCCACTAACTGTGTGAGCAGAGATTTCTGGGAATTGTAGTCCAAGAACCTTGGGGATCCAAGGCTGGGAACCCTGGTTGTACAACGTATCCAGGAGCATTTTGTGTGACACCCCACCCGAAAGCATTGTAGAGCTCTTAGAAGTGAATTGGTGTAGGCAAGACTCCAGGATTTGTTCTGGGGTTCAGAGGGGCTCCAAGGTCCACCCCACCCCAAAACTAAACATCGGAATTGGAGGTGGCTATTCAGGGACTTCCAGTTTTGTTTTGGTTTTGGTTGACTTGGCTTAATTTGGTTGGCCTTTTTTGCCCTGGTTCAGCCCATGAGAGTTCATGGAGGCAGAAATTTGGCCTGCAGGCCTGCCAGAGTTCCCCAACCTTATTATAAACAATCAGATCTATAGAGCTTTAAGAGTGAGGTAGCCATGCCTACTTGCCACAAAGAGTTTTATAATTATATGTCCTCCACATCAATGACCCCAATTGTACATCCTGCACATTAAATTCTACAGGAAATACTAGGCAGATAGACAGAAAAGAATACATTCAGCCTTCATAATTACAGATGGGAAACATGTATCCATACAAACATCATTGGGCTGCAACTCCCATCAGCCTTTCTCACCATAGCCAATGGTGGTGGATCATGGGAGCTGCAATTCTACAACATCTGGAAAACTACATGTTGTTCCCTACATGTTGTTCATATCTGTTCTGAACATTAAAGACAAGGTGCCAGTAGATTTTGTATGACATGGTATCGTACTGTATTTAGTAACCTGCCTAGAGTAACTAATCCCTGTCCTGATATTTCTGAACAAGTGAATCTGAATTTAAAAGCTTCTGTCTTATTTTGCCCAGCTACAAGCTGCTGAGAATGAGAAAGTAAGATGGGAGTTGGAAAAGAACCAGCTTCAGCAGAACATTGAAGAGAACAAGGACAGGATGATGAAGCTCGAGAGCTACTGGATTGAGGCACAAACCCTGTGTCATACTGTCAATGAACATCTGAAGGAGACCCAGAGCCAGTATCAGGCCCTTGAGAAGAAATACAACAAAGCCAAGAAACTGATTAAGGACTTTCAGCAGAAGTAAGCAATAGCCACAAACAGAGTTGGCAGTTCAAGTGTTAATTCTCAAAATGCTTACAAGGCATACGTATGCAGAGCGTTAGTGAGGTAAAGTGGTCAGAGTCTTGAGCTAGGACTGCAGAGATGTTCCTGCTCAACCATGAAACTCATGGTGGGACCACTCACTGTCTAACCTACCTGACAGATTGTTGTGATACTCAATGCCAGCCACATAGATTACCCTACATTCCTGGGAAAAATAATGGAATAGAAAGTTGGCTAATTCTTTACAGTGGCAATAAAAAGTACCTTGATAAATTATACTATCATGTTAGATGGCTTCATCACTTGTGTCCATCACAGCAGTTTTCAATCCTTCTGTTTTTATCTGTTTCTCTCTTTCTCTCAGTCATTGTTCCAAACAGTGTTCATATTCCTTTCAACAAGGAAATATTTGTTCCATGCTTTTGTCTTTCTTGCTGGTGCAGGTTCATTATTGTTAGATTAGTAAGATACCTCTAATCGACACATCAGTTTCCTAAGAAAATCTTTAACACTCTGCTGCAGTGAATTGTTTTAATATCTTTTACAATTTAGCAGTTTGTTCTAATTGGCAAATTTATTTATTTTTCCTAAGAGAACTTGAGTTTATCAAACGACAAGAAGCTGAAAGGAAAAAAATTGAAGATCTAGAGAAAGCTCATTTTGTAGAAGTCCAAAGTTTACAAGCTCGTGTAAGTAGCTTTCATTACTTCCTTTTATTTTGGAGATGCTTTGGTAGTGGCTGTATATACAATTTATGAAGAGGCAGATTTTAAATATTTTAAATAAACAGTACTAAATAGGGAGATGACCATTGTGCTGGATAATGATGCTAAAGAAATTTGTTATTGGTAGTCACTTGTGTTGTCTCTGTCTGGTAAAAAAGGAAGCGTTACCAAGGTTTTTAAAAAAAACAATTGTCATATTTCTCCTAGATTAGAGAACTTGAAACAGACGTTTTCAGGCTACTGAAGCAAAATGGGAGCCAAGTTAACAATAACAACAACATTTTCGAAAAGCAGACATCTCTTGGAGAAGTCTCAAGAGGAGATACAATGGAAAACCTAGATGGAAAGCAGGTGTCTTGCCTGGATGCCTTAAGTCAAGGTTTGTTTAAACCAGATGATAAAGTTGAGAATGTTGTTCTTTCTTTCTGACTTAGTTACAATGATGTTAATGTTTTAAAAAATGTAATGCACAATGTGGTGTCTCACTGAAATAATGAATTAGATGAAGTGTATCATCTAATACAATGCCTGTGGCACTCTTCAGTTTCTACACTGTGCTAATAAACAGGTTAAGAAAGTGTGTGCATCTTCCTTATGTATCTTTATGCCTGGTTTCATTTACTCTGTGTTCCAGGGTTCAAGATATGGTGTTTCTGTCTAAAAAGTAAACAAGTGATTTGGCAAAATAACATTTGAGATACAAATCACATTTGTATAAACATATGTGTGGCTGAAATGCATTAGAATAAAGCTAAACCAGTGGTTCTTAACCTTTTGAAAGAAACGCCCCCTTGAACCATTGAGGAAGTTATCATCGCCCCCCCTCCCCACGGTGATGATATCTTATTTATTTATTTATTTATTTATTTATTTATTTATTTATTTATTTATTTATTTATTTATTTATTTATTTATTTATTACACTTAAATCCAATGAT